GCTTCATTCCCTTTTCCTTCCCATTTGGGAGCGGGCGAAGAGGGGGTTAGAGAGCGTCTGTCCATGTTAGTGGCTGGCCCAGCCCTAACCCACAACAATCTGAGAAACTTTTCTGTCTCTAACCATGTAGGTTCTATTTTGTCATTAGCTGACCAGTGAGGTCCCACTTCCTTGTGTTGGAGTTCAGAGTCTGTAGCTGGCCATTGATGGCTGTTCAGAGGTGAACTCCACAGCTTTTTGTTCCTTTTTGTACGCTGTCTCTGGAAGAAACTTTTGCACCATGTTTAACTAGTAGTTGCACTGATGTCTGTGGCACTACTCAAGACAGTAAAATTACAAATAAAATATATGTGTGAAGCTTTTTCTTTATGCCAGCAATACTCGTCTTGCAGCTTCTGACCACACTCTTCTGCAGTATTCCTGTAATTCACTGATTTATAGGTATTCATGACGACTCAGATTTGAAAATTAATGTTAATTTCATATATTTTAACAAGATAGCATAAAGTTGTATTTGCAATGCATTGCTTCAATATAAAGACAGTGGGCCTTCTATTAGTAGTTCCTAACAAAAGCTGTGCTCCTAGAATGTTTTAATGCCACACTAGCATTATGCTGCCATGTCATTAACTTCTGCCTTGAGTTCTCCTGATACTGTTGGTCTTCATTTCACCATAATTAAATGAGACTCTGACACAGCACCCCTTGTTCTTGGAAATAAGGCTAAATACAGTCCTCGATGCCTTGTGTGGTGTAGTCTGCACTAGAGCATAAAATTACTGTATTCTTTCTTCTACGCTTGAATTTGTACAAAGGTAAGTGGGCCATTATTTTATATATTTGTGTTGTTGAGTAACATCTTGGAGACTTGCAGTATAAATCAAGGAGAGAGAGTTCAGAAATTTCACTTTCACTTTTACTCTGAGAAAGTGATGTCAAATTCACTTGAATTGAAACTGATGGATTTAAACTGGCTGTAGCCTATGGTGTGGAAGACAAAAGCCTGATTCTGGCAATGTATATTGACCCAGCTGGAGTCATAACAAAATAAAGAAAGAACAGAGAATGTTTTGAAAAAAGATGTAACAAGGCAATAGTAAAGCCAACCTATGAAAAACCCAAAAAATCTAGCTGTAGGCTAACCCTGCAAAAGAGGTACTGTGGCTTACTAGAACACTATTTCAGGAAAGATCTTTAGAACTTATTTGTGTATGGTAAATTATATTAAGAAGATACCTGACTTGTAGACTCAGATTTTATTTTTTATATGTAGTAGGATGTTGCTTATTTTGCTGAATGTGGTTGTGCAGGCATTGCTGGGAGGAGCAGCAGCCAAGGAGCGACTGTTAGCGCAACAGTACGCTTTTTGCTTTGAAAATTGGAGGATACCTAGTCATCACTGATCCTCATAGGTAGCCATTCTCTCTCCCCGTGCTCATGCTGTCCAGCAAGCAGATAACTGACCTCATGCTAGAAGCCAGAGCACCTCTGTGGAGGCTCTTGAATAAATTGCATGCAGCTAAGCAGCTGATAATTCTGACTGCGTGCCCCAAACCATAAAGACCTGCTGAAGGTATGGTGAGCCAAGCCTTTAAGTTAGGCAGGCTCGAAAGAAAGCTTCCTTTCCTTTTCCTGCACTTGGTGTGCAAAGGGCTCCATACCTAAACCAGCACTGTGTTAGAGCAAGGCAGCTCCTTACAAAGAGACGGTTTAGAACTGCTAGAGTGAGACAGTCTGACTATGGGTGTGCCCCTGCTCATGGGAGGAGAGGAAGCAAGTATTTTCTGCCAGTACTGCTTTCCAGTCTAGCAGCTTCTGTTGTCTGCCTTGCTCAAACCGGGGGAGTGTGTCTGTGAAGGGCCCACAGTTTGCTGGAAGAGCAAAAATAGAATTGCTGACAGTAATGGCATTTAATGATCCACTGGTTGATGATACCTAAATGGGAAAGAAGAGGGAAACTCTAATTCTTCCTGCATGTTCTCTCAAGTTTGTGTTATGGTTTGGGAACTAATCAATCGATGCATGTTACCTATGCTGATTATAATGGGACTTCTTAAAAAGTATCACCTTGATTGTGCTGGTTGCATTATACTTGAGCCTTTCAAATTGCAAATCTCAGTGATTGTGTGCCTGGCAGTGCTTTTTAACACTTTCTGGTTTGCTTGAACATAATTTATAGCTCTCGTATTATGCCTTCACTCACAAATTTTGCAGGCCGTTGTACTGGTTATCATCACAAAAGACATCTGCTGTCTTTTTAGATGAAAGCAGAATACTGACAAGTGAAACACAGATTATTTTTATTTTATTTTTTATTTATTTGTTTTACCTGGACTCTAGTTATGGTGGGGAGTTCCTCCACTTGTGAAATGCTGCAAAAGACAAAAAAAGTAGTGTATCAAGTCAGGTCTGATCTTCCATCTGAACTATTTAGGCAAGAGTCTTAACATCATATACTTTCAAACATTTATAGTTACAGTTTTCTGGGTATCTCTAGTAACTAGTTTAGCTTAAGAGTCACAGAAAAGACCTCTGAGGTCATCAAGTCCAGCCTATGACCCACCACCACCACACTGGCCAGAGCACGGCACTAAGTGCCACACCCAGCCTCTCCTTAAACCCCTCCAGGGACGGTGACTCCACCACTGCCCTGGGCAGTGCATCCCAGTGCCTGAGCACCGGTGCTATTAGTCATGTCAGTCTTCTGTTACTTGTAGGGTGGCTCCAGAGAATTATCACTGCTCCAAGTAGGTTCACAGCGAAGTATTGTTATTTTGCTGGATCCATTTTATTTGCTTTCTCATGGTTTAGTTTGTTTGTTTGTTTCTTTCATTTTAAAAATGCTGCGCTGGATAAAAATCTGTATTAAAAGTGAAAGTCCAAGATATTCTCAGCTGCAGCTTTTCCTAGTGGTAATGTGATGATGAGCACTGTGTTTCCCTTCCAGGTGGCTAGTGAGCATCTTGTATGTTGGTCCTAGGAGGGATGATGACCTTCACTGGTCTTCCTGGGTACTGCTGAAATGTTGAAGTATTTAGTAGCCATTTGCAGAGCTTGTGACTTGAAATGTCAACTAGCTGTTGCCGTTTTTTTATCCCTTTATTTTCACTCCTTACTCTCCATTACATGTGTGACATTCAAGCTTCTAGCACTAGGAAGTCTAAATTTTGATCTGCTGAAATAGATGTCTGTTTTATTTGTTTTTTTCCTTTCCAACAGGTCGTGACAATGCATGTGAGAAGACTTCATATATGTTTCTGCGGAAAGAACTCCCTGTGAGACTAGCTAACACCATGAGAGAAGTCAATTTGTTGCCTGATAACTTACTTAACAGGCCTTCAGTTGGGCTAGTACAGAGTTGGTAAGTAAAAAAAACCCAGTGGACTGAAAATCAGTGTAAAGCTAGCACTACATGTGCTGCTTAAGTTGCAACTCAGCTTGAATTGTCTTGAACTGAAGTCTAGTTTCTGCCTTGAATTGTTTATAATACGTGATTCTTGTCAAATGAAGGTTCCTTTTCTTCTAGCATTAGACATATTCTTCTAATTAAATACTCTAATATGCCAATTAAATACTCTAATATGGATCTCAGAGATAAGAATTTGTATGTTAATCTTGTGAGTTAGTAGAAACATACTGTTGTCTCCCAGATAATTAGAATATTCCAGTAAGAGTGAGGTTTTTAGAATATTCCTTACTGTGTTGCTCCCATGACTTCTTGAAAACTTCTTGAAATAGCTGTTCTTTCTTTGTCAAAAATACTGGAAAAAAAATCTCATCTTATTGCTAAATCTTTAAAAACTCGTCTTGGTATTCAGTGTAATTTACAGAACAGGACAAAAATCTGGTGTCATCCAGTAAGTAACATTCTCCATTGTAATAACTACTGTGTATCTGAAGGGATTCACAGTCCTGTTGTCTTTTGCACAGTAATTTCTAGCCTGCTGGCATGTTCAGTGAGATTTGGAGGCTACTACCTTGTATGTATGAAGCTCTAAAAAATTCTTTTTCACGGGGTATTTATCATCTCTCTGCCTGCAAATACTTGATCTAAAGAATTTATGTAAAAATACCTTTGTGTTATACCGTAAATTTACATTGTGAATAATGGTTTATCTAACTGTAACAGCAACTAATGTTGTAGATGTCTGTTAAGTTCAGTCATAGCCCTTGAGCTGAGATATTCCATGTTGACTGCTGGGTTTGGTCTCGTATTTATGAAGCTTCAGACTTAGAAAATATAAATTAGGATATGTGATACTGTGTACTTTAGTTTAAATATGTTTACGAAAGGTAACACTGGCTGTCTTGATGACCACTTCAAACATAGCGATTAAGTGCTTCAGATAAATATAAGTGCTGTGGAGCCACACGGTAACAATCACTTTGTGGTTAAGTGGCAACTTGCAAGGTCTGAAGGCTTGTATCACCTGTCACTTGTAACATCAGTAGAGGAAGCTATTATGCCAAATAGGGAACACCTTTAGGCTTTTCTGATCTCGAGGATTTGTGAAGCTGTGCTTGAATCACACAGAGAATTGCCTAGATTGGAAAAGACCTTTAAGATCAGAGTCCGGCCATTAACACTGACAAATCCTCAACTAAACCATGTCTCTAGGCACTATGTCTACATACTCTTAAATACCTCCAGGGATGGGGACTCCACCACTGCCCTGAGCAACTCATTCCAGTGCCTGATAGGCCTTTCAGTAAAGAAATTCTTCCTAATAGCCAATCTAAACTTCCCCTGGCACAAATGGAGGTGATTTCCTCTTGTCCTATCATTTGTTAATTGATTGAACAGACTGATCCCTGCCTCTCTACGACCTCCATGCAGGTAGTTGTAGAGAGTGATAAGGTCTCCCCTCAGTCTCCTTTTCGAAGGACCTCAGTTCCCTCAGCTGATCCTTGTAAGACTTGTTCTTGAGACCTTTCACCAGCTTTGTTGCCCTTCTTTGGACACACTTCAGCACCTCAGTGTCCTCCTTGTAGCGAGCCCAAAACTGAACACAGCACTTGAGGTGCGGCCTCACCAGTGAAATGGGGCCAGATAGGTGAAGAGGGACGTGGATCTGTTGGAGCGTGTTCAGAGGAGGGCCACAAGGATGATCCAGGGGCTGGAGCACCTCTGCTATGAGGACAGGCTG